CTCGTCTCTCAGGTGCTTCCTTAGCTGAGAGAGAGAACACATCATAACACTGTACATAGCCATAATATGACATTTGAAATGTCTCTATTCCTTTGGAACTTTTGTGAGTGTAATGTTTACTGTTAATTTTTTCTTGTTTATTTCACCTTTGTTTATTATCTATTTCACTTGCTTTGGCAATGTAAATATATGTTTCTCATGCCAATAAAGCCCTTTGAATTGAATACACTTTAACGGTTAAATGGAGAGAGAGAGAGAAAGAGAGAGAGAGACGTGCGCTAGACCTTGGAGTTGGTGGAGTTGTGTGTGTGTCATTGCATGATTGTGTTGTTTATTTAATTATTTAAAAATGAGTGCAGACTGTATAACCCTTTTGATGAATCATCTCTTTGTCAACACGCTCTTCATAAAATAACAGCCACATAGCCTACAGAGCAATAATACATAGTTTCTCACCTCTCAACCTGGTTTACCTTCCACGTTATCTGGTTCAGGGTAAGTCTCCCCATGTGTAGATCCGATGGCCCATCCACAGTTTTGTTCTAGTTCTCAACTAGAGAGCAGGTTTCCCACATGAACAATCAGTGTGAAAGTTGTACAATTTTGCCTGAATGGGAAATAACTGTACAAAATGTAACATAGCCTAGACATTAAATATACCAATTATTTGCACAATATGAAACAAAAATAACAATTATTTATTCACTTTTTTGGGTTAGTCATTTTGATATTATTTTTTATAAATATAGATGCAATGTAGCGTATTTTCTTATTTAGAATTCAATGATACCTTAAATTACACAATTGTTTTGCAAACCTGTTCCTTCGTATTCCACCGTGTGCCTGACTACAGCCCATGAGCCTCGTTAGAAGCTTTTCTTTAGGTCTTTACTCTGTGGAGCCTTCGGGTTTCCCACTTAATCCCCACAGCCCATAGGCCTCCAGGCTGCATGCAAGCCAACCCCCATCACCATGAGTGTCGTATGGAACAGGACAGTCATGCAGTCATGTAATGTTGGTTTAATGTAGCCTATGGTCTCTGTCCGTGCTAATAAGCAGTCTCTCGACTGAACAGAGGACTGCCAGATACCGTTGGCTATCATTTGTCTGAAGTGGAAGACAAAGTGTGAGGACAGGAGGACATATTTAATACAACAATTCATTGGTAGTAAATTGTGTTTTTCAAATGCCTTTAGTGGAGTGGTATGCACATCCATAAAAACACCCAGTGCTGGTTTCCGAACGCTGTCCAAATAAAAAACACGTTGAAAGCAGCCTACCAAACGCTGTCAAATTAAAATACACGTTGAAAGCAGCCTACCAAACGTTTTCCAATTAAAATACACGTTGAAAGCAGCTTATCAATATGCATATTTATTATTTTCTAATTTCCCAATTTATTTCACACAACATTAAACATGTTCTTAGAAGTGTTTTTTATTTTGTCACTCCCAATATTTACCCCAATCATTGAGCATAGGCCAATACGTACAGTTAATGAAATGTAACAAGCGATACAAAAGGGGTGTGTAACGACAAAGACAGGAAAGCTATAATTATGTGGTTTACTTAATTCGGTTAAAAACATATAGGCCAAGTGTAAAAAGAAAGAAGAACCTTTAGAATAAAACATTTTTTAGGGGGTAGATCAGCTTTAATATTTCAGATAGATTGTAACTTCCATCAATGTAATTGTCTGCATCACTTCCAATTCCCCATATGTTTTCTTCTCGCAAATATATACACACATACATATATATATATACATACATACACACATACACATACACACATACATACACACACACATATATATACATACATCCATATATACATACATCCATATATACATACATCCATACACACATATCCTTTTTAAAATTATATTTCCCTTAATTACTTTCCAACCCCACCACCCCTTCCCCAATTGGAGTAAACTGGTGAACAACAACGCTTAGGCCTCTACTTCCAGCCCCTTTATTTTGTTAGTGGCATTGTTTTGGAGTGAATGGGGTAAATTCGTTTCTAGTTTTTCTCCATTTAAAAGGGTTTACATTTCACGTTGTCAGGGGCAGGGGCAGAAGTTTGGAGACAGGAGAACTGTTTCTGCTATGTTGTCGATGTTCTAAACGGGAAAGACCTGACCCTGACAAATACTATAGCCTTCATCATAAATAATATTCTAAATATGTGCAAAACTTGACCGAGAAATATATAATATCTGATATTAAATCCAAGACATCAATCACAATAGTTTTTCAACTTTTAGATTACTTTGGATCCGCGTCCGAAAACACTGATGGGACACTGATCTCTCTCTCTCTCTCTCTCTCTCTCTCTCTTCCTCTCTCTCTCATTCTCTCTCGCCTCTCTCTCTCTCATCTCTCTCTTCTCTCCTCTCATCTCTCTCTCTCTCTCTCTCTCTCTTCTCTCTCTCTCTCTCTCTCTCTCTCTCTCCATTTAACCGTTAAAGTGTATGTCTACTACATCAGTGGAGATCAAATCTGGCAGGTCCGGGCGAAACATGAATGAGGCTACCTATTGTGCCGAATGCAAAGCGGCAAGTCTCGTGAATCAGTCATCAGCTCTGCTCACGAGCTCAACCCCATGTCCCAAACACCAACCACGTCCACAACAAACAACATGTGATATAAGCTGTGGAACTCCCAAATACATTTTACATGGTGTGAGTGAGTTAATCTGATGTTGATGCAAGAAGGTATTACAAAATACATTTTAAAATAATTTCCTAAAATATAGCCAATAATTCCAAGTTAGGAATTTGCTACCAAAGTTATTGAGTTGTATAGGCTCATGAACAAAAGTAACTGTAATGTTGTGTAGGCCTAAGAAATTACACAACTTAATTTCACATGTGCATGCAACATTGGCCTAAGGTTAGCCTACTATTTTGTGCAACATTAATTATCACCATGGCTATGTGATATATTAGACCTATGTTTGTTATAGGCCTATATGAGTTTTCTTCAAAACAGCCTATATATTTGACATTGACCCCTGTCAGCAGTGTAGGTCACTCTAAAAAGAAGCCTACAAATTACCTCCGTAGTTTCCATTAGTAAATCCGTTATAGAGGCACTACATTTTAATAGGAAGCAGTGCAGAGGTAATTTTCTCTCGGCAATGCATGGGCCCTCTTCTCTCTGAGCACGAAGAGAGCACATGTACCGGCAGACTTAGACTTTAATCAAGTGCAAGTTGTAAAAATCATTTGCTATTTCAGTGTTTCAGTAGCCTCCAACCCTCCGACAGCTGCCCCCTCCCTCGCCTCCCTTTGTTCTCGCCAACTCTAATAGGTTTTCCCCTGCCACACACAATTCCCTGTTTTTCCTTTTTTATTTTCCCCCTCGTCCCCTTTTTCTCCCTGTTTTTTTGCGGTGCCTTGTGGACGGGAGCATTTGAGCAATTTGAAATTAAAGCCAACAATAGGGAGCCCCTCCCGGGGACATCTCGCTCTCCATATTACATGGAGGACGCTCGTGTGCTCTCGCGCATTATTGGCAAGTCATTACGTTTCTCTGGAAACCAAACCGGGAGGGTGCGGGAGACTTCTGAGGGCTCGCGGACAGTGACGCAAACGGCTGGCAGATGCGCTTGCAAAATAAACCCATGCATGTTACACAATGCAGCTTCTCTGAATGATTTAACCAAGATTATGTCATTACAAGATTTTAAAACAAAAGTGAAATGCTTTTTTTTTTTTTTTTAAGCGTGCTTTTTGCATTTCACGTTTCCGTTTATTGTGTAAAGTGGAAGCAATTTATTGAGTTCATTAATATAAATAAAAATAGCAAAAACAAATCTTGATTTGATATGCCCAGATGTGTTCTTTACAAATAACAGTTAATAGATTATTTGGGCTTTCTTTTAGCTCATAATCTAACTGTTGAGTGTTCCAAGAATTAAAGACCAAACATAGGAAAGATAAATAAAAACCAAGTAAAGAAATAAGTAAAATAAACATACACAATACAAAGTGTAGATTATTTCAGTTCTATTCATGGTTTATGTAGCTAGGCCTATATTGCCTTCCAAGTTTTTCTCTAATTGAAAATTCAAGCAGCAATGTTTGAGAGTAATACTCGTTCGAACGCCAGAGAAATTCCACACACATTTCTCTCTCAGAGAGCATATTCCTTGTTCCATTTTGCAACACACACACAGAGAGAGAGAGAGCGAGAGAAAGAGAGTGAAATGACAGTGGCACAGACACGTCTATGTTTTATTAAGGTCTAATGTAAAGGCACACTCTCAGATGTGCATAGGCTACTATAGAGTGTGGAACCAAGAAAAAACTTCCACCATGACATTTTCATATGCAAATAGCATTTTATTTCCATAGTTACAATGTCCTAGTGCTCAATGAATGACATTATATTCTTTGAGAGCAAAATGATGTCTAGGTTTTCTAAACATGAGTTTAAATAGGCCTTGGCTACATCTAAAGGCTATTTACAAAGTCTCAGATGACAACAATAGCGTACATAAACAATGGAGTAATAGTAATTCATGTTTTTGCTATAATAACGTAATTCATATTTGTAAATACCTCATATTGATGGATACAATGTTGCCAATAGTCATTCGGCATTTGTAACAACCACGCATTGTAGCGTTACAAAGTTTCCAAGCAGTTTCCTTCACAACACATTCGTTTTAAAAGTCCATATGGAGCCAAAATGGCGCCGTACACTTTGGCAACACTCTCTGAGCCAATCATGTCCATCCTTTCTGACTTGTCACGCGCCGTGCGTGCTTACGCACTTCCACTTCCTGACGGGCCGCTTCTTCTCGCTCGCGCTGTGTGTAGCCTACACTAAAGTGGAAAAAATACGGTGTCGAAACGGAATGTAAACACGACTAAAACATGACCTTTCGGCCAAGTGGGACCTAAAGCGCTGTCACACTGGGTAGATGAGGCTCTTCTGCAAAGGTTTCGGCTCATCTTTGTTGTCTTCGTATGTCCACTTTCTACGTAGATGGTCTCCGGCGAGCTGTGCCTGGCAGCGGACAACGAATTCTTGGCGAATAATATGAAGGAGATGATTGGAGGTTGCTGCGTGTGCTCAGACGAGAGAGGCTGGGCAGAAAACCCTCTCGTATACTGTGACGGTCACGGCTGCAATGTTGCAGTCCATCAAGGTAAACACCGGATAAAATCCAAAACATTAAACATGGAATTTGCTTGACGAACATCCGATAACTAGCTCAGGCTAGCCTAGCGCGGTTGATGGTCTGCCAGGAAGCTAGCTAGTAACGTTAGCTAGCTAAGCTAACTAATTTTGTTAGCTACTAAGCAAGGTTATAGCTAGTTATTGTAACGTTAGCTAGTTCTATCCAATCGACTGTTTGCGCGTTTGTCATGACCTACCTAGCTAGTTAGCCTTCCTATCTAGTAGATATGGAGTTGGCTAAAGTAACTAGCTAACTAACGTTACCGTTAGATATCTAGCTAGGTAGTATTTCTGTAGCTAGCAGCTTGTAACAGACTAATGTGATGCTCCATTAACCGTGCTGATATGTACTGTTTGATACATGTTTGGCCGAATCGAGAACGAAGATAGTATAGTATTGCCAAGTTAAGGTTGGTTGAAAATTCTGCTACGCCAAACAGTAACGTTACCTACCCTATAAGGCTATTGGACCATCACATTAACGTTATCCCGTTACAATCTGCTAGGAAGGATTTATGTAGTTGTCAACATTGTCTGTGTAGCCTGGCTATACAATTCGTTGAAATTGCATTGCCTAGCGCTAACTAGATAGCCAACGTTAGCATGTTAGTTACTTTGTCTTACCACACTAACTATATCCGTAATGATAGCCCTCTAGTAAATGACATTATTTCCCCAATGTATTGCTAGATACGTTTTGTAAACAATAGTGCCACGCGGTGAAGTAGTTAGCTAGCTACAGTATGTTGTCAAAATATTATTAGCTAGCTACTGAGTTTAACAGAACGAACCTGTGTACCTAGCTTGTCTGTAACACACTGAACCCAGGCACGACTGATGTTTTTTCTGACCCAAACAACAATGTCAACGTAACTCAGATTCTGTTGACAGTCACAATCAGAACTAGGTATCCATGCGACACAGTAAATATAGGTGATTTTGGCTTTGTGAGACAGAAAAACTGCCCAGTAATGATATTTTTATTGTTGATCGTTGTCATGTGATTGAATATCTGTCTTCATTACATTTTAGTCATTTAGCAGACGCTCTTATCCAGAGCGACTTACAGTTAGTGAGTACATACATTCATTTTTTATTTTTCATACTGCCCCCCCCCCCCCCCGGGAATCGAACCCACAACCCTGGCGTTGAAAACGCCATGCCCTACCAACTGAGCTACATCCTTGCTGGCCATTCCCTCCCCTACCCTGGACGACGCTGGGCCAATTGTGCGCCGCCCCCTTCATACTCATATTTAGATTTGATTGGGATCCCTATTAGCTGACGCCAATGGCAACAGCTAGTCTTCCTGGGGTACGACACATACCGAAAAATACATTACAGACAAAAATACATACATGAACTAAACCCACCTATTTGTACATGTTATTAAACACATCCTATTCGTTTTACATGTGAATTAATCAATAGCCAATCTACACACTGACGCCGTTGTAACAATCGCTGACCCCTCTGTCCAACATAACAATACCCTTTTTATCATCAGTGGATTATCTCTGTTCATTAAAGTGGATTATGTGAGTCAGTCAGATGTGAGATAATCTGAGCGGACAGCAGAGGTATCTGGAGTGTGCGAACACGATTTAGTGCATATAGGGGAAATACTCCCATGGGCTTGGTGTATAGGCTACAGGGTTATGTTCAGTAGGGCACCGGGTTGGCACAGTGGCACTCTGTTGCAAAATGTTTTGAAACAGGAAGCAAAGATTAGTGTTCTTTATCGGACGTGTTCATCCAGTACCATGCCATTTCAAAACATTTTTTTCTGTTTCCTGCCTATTAGAAATGTGTTCTGTTTCCTGCCTATAACATGTCTTAAATCCGTCCATGAGATTCTTCAAATCCGTCCATGTTATGTCAAGTGATTTACCGTTGTAGCACAGCCTACTAGGACACAATACATCAATGTCCACCTCTGGAGGTGTCAGCCAGATCTGTCACCATTTGGCTAGAATGATATCTGCGTGTGTGTGTGAGACATAGGCCTAAGAGGTTGTTGTGGTTAAAGGGATAGTTTGAGATTTTGTCAATGAAGCCATATATTTACTTCCCAAGAGTCAGATGAACTCGTGGATACCATTTTTATGTCTCTTTGTCCAGTATGAAGGAAGTTAGAGGTCGTTTTTGTGAGCCAATGACAACTAGATTAGCGCAAAGACTGGAAGTCTTTGGAAACTTCCTCTAACGTCCTGCATACTGGACGCAGAGAAATAAAAATGGTATCCACGAGTTCACCTGACTCTGGAGAAGTAGATAAAAGGCCAAAATCCTGAACTATCCCTTTACAGGGATGAAAACTTGTCACTTTTCGTCGCTATTTGCCGTTTTGAATCCAAAATAAGTAATCCACATAAATCGTGAAGATCTGTAATTTAAAAAAAGAATCTCACAAAGTATTACCCATTGAGCTATAATAGAGAAGTGCGAATAGATCTTTTTATTTAATTGTATAAACCATGTCATGGGCCGTTTTAAACTACTCGTGGACCTTGAGTTTTTGGTTCGATAACAAACGACCTTGTTTAGTCATGTTACCTGGCTAGCTAGCTAACAACCTGGTACCTTGGCTATGCACATTTGGATGGCACAGGACAAACTGAAATGGGATAGATAGCCTACTCAAAGAGATGCTTCAAAGGTAGGATGCATATGCCTAATCAATGTAATTCTAAGTAAACCTGAATAAAAATGAATAGCTTTTTCTGGTGTTCCTTAAATTTAATTTGGTGCCTAATCTTGGTAATAAGTGAGTGAGCCTGAGTGTGTGGGTGAGGGAAGGAGGGAGATTGTGTGTTTTTCCCCTTAATGCCACAATGAAAATGCCGTTCATTATGCATTTAAAATTCCTTACTAGCTACATTTCTCCTGCCCAATCACAGGTAGGCATTTTGATATGAGCAAATCAGATATTTTCTGCAGTAGCCTTTTCTATTATACAGTAGAAAGTGACATTAAATTAAATGTGTTGTGTTGGATAGAGGTGTGAATATCAAAAATTGACTTTTTGTTGATTTACAGCCTGAATTTAAAATGGATTAAATTGAGATTTTGTGTCACTGGCCTACACACAATATCCCATATGTCAAAATGGAAATATGGTATTCGAAATGTTTACAAATTAATTAAAAATGAAATGCTAAAATGTCTTGAGTCAATAAGTATTCAATCCCTTTGTTATGTCAAGCCTAAATAAATTCAGGAGTAAAAATGTCCTTAACAAGTCACATAAGTTGCATGGACTCACTCTGTGGGTAATAATAGCGCTAAGAATGATTTCTGTACCCAACAGGGAGGCCAATGGTGACTTTAAAACAGTTACCAGAGTTTAATGGCTGTGATAGGAGAGAACTGAAGATGGATCAACAACGTTGTAGTTACTCCACAGTACTAACCTGAATTACAGATTGAAAAGAAGGAAGCCTGTACATAAAAAAAAAATATTCCAAAACATGGATCCTGTTTGCAAAAAGGCACTGAAGTAGAATTGCAAAAAATGTGGCAAATAACTTATGTCCTGAATACAAGCGTTATGTTTGGGGCACAACACATCACTGAGTACCACTCTTCATATTTTCAAGCATGGTGTTGGCTTCATCATGTTATGGGTATGCTTGTCATCGGCAAGGACTAGGGAGTTTTTTAGGATAAAAAAAAAAGAAGGAATAAAGCTAACCACAGGCAAAATCCTAGAGGAAAACCTGGTTCAGTCTGCATTCCAACAGACACTGGGAGACAAATTCACCTTTCAGCAGGACAACAACCTAAAACACAAGGCCAAATATACGCTGGAGTTGCTTACCAAGATGATATTGAATGTTCTGAGTGGCCTAGTTACAGTACCAGTCAAAAGTTTGGACACATCTACACATTGTAGAATAATAGTGAAGACATCAAAACTATGAAAAAGCACATATGGAATCATGTTGTAACCAAAAAAGTGTTAAACAAATCAAAATATATTTCATATTTGAGATTCTTCAAAGTAGCCACCCTTTGCCTTGATGACAGCTTTGCACACTCTTGGCATTCTCTCAACCAGCTTCATGAGGTAGTCACCTGGAATGCATTTAAATTAACAGGTGTGCCTTGTTAATTTGTGGAATTTCTTTCCTTCTTATTGTGTTTGAGCCAATCAGTTGTGTTGTGACGAGGTAGGGGGGTATACAGAAGATAGTCCTATTTGGTAAAAGACCAAGTCCATATTATGGCAAGAACAGCTCAAATAAGCAAAGCGAAATGACAGTCCATCATTACTTTAAGACATGAAGGTCAGTCAATCCGGAACATTTCAAGAACTTTGAAAGTTTCTCCAAGTGCAGTCACAAAAACCATCAAGCGCTATGATGAAACTGGCTCTCATGAGGACCGTCATAGGAAAGGAAACCCAGAGTTACCTCTGCTGTAGAGGATAAATTCATTAGCGTTACCAGCCTCAGAAATTGCAGCCCAAATAAATGCTTCACAGAGTTCAAGTAACAGACACATCTCAACATCAACTGTTCAGAGGAGACTGCATGAATCAGGCCTTTATGGTTGAATTGCTGCAAAGAAACCACTACTGAAGGACACCAATAAGAAGAAGAGACTTGCTTGGGCCAAGAAAAACAAGCAATGGACATTAGACCGGTGGAAATCTGTCCTTTGGTCTGATGAGTCCAAATTTGAGATTTTTGGTTCCAACTGCCGTGTCTTTGTGAGACGCAGAGTAGGTGAACGGATTATCTCCGCATGTGTGATTCCCACCGTGAAGCATGGAGGAGGAGGAGGAGGAGCTGTGATGGTGTGGGGGTGCTTTGCTGGTGACGCTGTCTGTGATTTATTTAGAATTTAAGGCACACTTAACCAGCATGGCTACCACAGCATTCTGCAGCGATATGCCATCCCATCTGGTTGTGCTTAGTGGGACTATCATTTGTTTTTCAACAGGACAATGAACCAACACACCTCCAGGCTGTGTAAGGGCTATTTGACCAAGAAGGAGTGTGATGGAGTGCTGCATCAGATGACCTGGCCTCCGCAATCACCCGACCTCAACCCAATTGAGATGGTTTGGGATGAGTTCAAATCAACAATTTTTTGTCACATGCGCCGAATACAACAGGTGAAATGCTTACTTACAAGCCCTTAACCAACAATGCAGTTTTAAGAAAGGATACCCCCAAGAATAGTCTGGATAGCCATTTGATTAGACGTTCAGGAGTCTTATGGCTTGGGGGTAGAAGCTGTTTAGAAGCCTCTTGGACCTAGACTTGGCGCGCCGGTACCGCTTGCCGTGCGGTAGCAGAGAGAACAGTCTATGACTAGGGTGGCTGGAGTTTTTGACCATTTTTAGGGCCTTCCTCTGACACCGCCTGGTATAGAGGTCCTGGATGGCAGGAAGCTTGGCCCCAGTGATTTACTGGGCTGTACGCACTACCCTCTGTAGTGCCTTGTGGTCGGAGGCTGAGCAGTTGCCATACCAGGCAGTGATGCAACCAGTCAGGATGCTCTCGATGGTGCAGCTGTAGAACCTTTTGAGGATCTGAGGACCCATGCCAAATCTTTTCAGTCTCCTTAGGGGAATAGGTTTTGTCGTGCCCTCTTCACGGCTGTCTTGGTGTGCTTGGACCATGTTAGTTTGTTGGTGATGTGGACACCAAGGAACTTGAAGCTTTCAACCTGCTCCACTACAGCCCTGTCGATGAGAATGGGGGCTTGCTCGGTTCTCTTCTTTTTCCTGTAGTCCACAATCATCTCCTTTGTCTTGATCACGTTGAGGGAGAGGTTGGTGTCCTGGCACCACACTGCCAGGCCTCTGACCACCTCCCTATAGGCTGTCTTGTCGGTGATCAGGCCTACCACTGTTGTGTCATCGGCAAACTTTGTGATTGTGTTGGAGTCGTGCCTGGCCATGCAGTCATGAGTGAACAGGGAGTACAGGAGGGGAATGTGCACGCACCCCTGAGGGGCCCCCGTGTTGAGGATCAGCGTGGCGGATGTGTTGTTACCTACCCTTACCACCTGGGGGCGGCCCGTCAGGAAGTCCAGGATCCAGTTGCAGAGGGAGGTGTTTAGTCACAGGGTCCTTAGCTTAGTGATGAGCTTTGAGGGCACTATGGTGTTGAACGCTGAGCTGTAATCAATGAATAGCATTCTCACTTAGGTGTTCCTTTTGTCCAGGTGTGAAAGGGCAGTGTGGAGCACAATAGATTACATCATCTGTGGATCTGTTGGGGCGGTATGCAAATTGGAGTGGGTCTAGGGTTTCTGGGATAATGGTGTTGATGTGAACTATGACCAGCCTTTCAAAGCACTTCATGGCTACAGACGTGAGTGCTACGGGTCGGTAGTCATTTAGGCAGGTTATCTTAGTGTTCTTGGGCACAGGGACTATGGTGGTCTGCTTGAAACATGTTGGTATTACAGACTCAGACAGGGAGAGGTTGAAAATGTCAGTGAAGACACTTGCCAGTTGGTCAGGGCATGCTCGGAGTACACGTCCTGGTAATCTGTCTGGCCCTGCGGCCTTGTGAATGTTGACCTGCATAGAAGTAATTTAGCTCGTCTGGTAGGCTCGTGTCACTGGGCAGCTATTTTGCAAGCCCTGCGACATCCGACGAGTGTCGGAGCCGGTGTAGTACGATTCGATCTTAGTCCTGTATTGACGCTTTGCCTGTTTGATTGTTTGTCGGAGGGCATAGCGGGATTTCTTATAAGCTTCCGGGTTAGAGTCCCGCTCCTTGAAAGCGGCAACTCTACCCTTTAGCTCAGTGCGGATGTTGCCTGTAATCCATGGCTTCTGGTTGGGGTATGTACGTACAGTCACTGTGGGGACGACGTCATCGATGCACTTATTGATGAAGCCAGTGACTGATGTGGTGTACTCCTCAATGCCATCAGAAGAATCCCGGAACATATTCCAGTCTGTGCTAGCAAAACAGTCCTGTAGCTTAGCATCTGCTTCATCTGTAAGCAGGAATCAGGAGGATAGAATTATGGTCAGATTTGCCAAATGGAGGGCGAGGGAGAGCTTTGTACGCGTCTCTGTGTGTGGAGTAAAGGTGGTCTAGAGTTTTTTTCCGTCTGGTTGCACATTTAACATGCTGGTAGAAATGAGTTAAAACGGATTTAAGGTTCCCTGCATTAAAGTCCCCGGCCACTAGGAGCGCCGCCTCTGGATGAGCGTTTTCCTGTTTGCTTATGGCCGTATACAGCTCATTGAGTGTGGTCTTAGTGCCTGCAACGGTTTGAGGTGGTAAATAGACAGCTACGAAGAATATAGATGAAAACTCTCTTGGTAGATAGCTTATCATGAGATACTCTACCTCAGGCGGGCAAAACCTCAAGACTTCCTTAGATATCGTGCACCAGCTAGGGCGGCAGGTAGCTTAGTGGGTAAGAGCGTTGTGCCAGTAACCGAAAGGTCGCTGGTTCTAATCCCCGAGCCGACTAGGTGAAAAATCTGTCGATGTGCCCTTAAGCAAGGCACTTAACCCTAATTGCTCCTGTAAGTCGCTCTGGATAAGAGCGTCTGCTAAATGACTAAAATGCAAATGTAAAAATGTTTACAAATATACATAGACCGCCACCCCTTGTCTTACCAGAGGCTGCTGTTCTATCCTGCCGATACAGTGTATAACCCGCCAGCTGTATGTTATTCATGTCTTCGTTTATCCACAACTCGGTGAAACATAAGATATTACAGTTTTTAATTGTCTCGTTGGTAGGATATTCGTGCCTGTAGTTCGTCCACTTTATTATCAAGCGATTGTAAATTGGCCAATAGTATCGATGGCAAAGGCAGATTAGCCACTCGTCGCCGGCTCCTTACCAAGCACCCAGATCTCCTTCCGCGATATCTCCTTTTCTTTCTACTGCGAATGACTGGCCCTGTCGAGTGTCTGGAGCAAATCCCTCTCGTCCGACGCAGAGTGAAGGAAAAGCAGCCAACAAGTGTTCAGCATATGTGGGAACTCCTTCAAGACTGTTGGAAAAGCATTCCAGGTGAAGCTGGTGGAGAGTGTGTAAAGCTGTCATCAAAGCAAAGGGTGGCTACTTTGAAGAATCTCAAATATAAAATATATTTTGAGTTGTTTAACACTTTTTTGGTTACTACATGATTCCATATGTGTTATTTCATAGTTTTTATGTCTTCACTATTATTCTACAATTTAGAAAATAGTGAAAATAAAGAAAAACCCTTGAATGAGTAGGTGTTGTAAAACATTTGACTGGCGCTGTAAATCGGCTTGAAAATCTATGGCAAGACTTGAAAATAGCTGTCTCGCAATGATCAACAATCAACTTGACAGAGCTTAAAGAATTTCTGGGAAGAATAATGTGCAAATATTGTACAATCCGGGTAGGCCAGGTGTGCAAAGCTAATTGCTGCCGAAGGTGATTCTAACATGTATTAACTCAGGGATGTGAATACTTATGTAAATGAGATATCTATGTATTTCATTTTCAAAAAAGTAGCAACATTTTCTGCTAACATGTTTTATCTTTTTCATTATGGGGTATTGTGTGTGGATGGGTGAGAAATAACATCAATTGAATCCATTTTAATTCAGGCTGTAACACAACAAAGATGTGGAATAAGTCAAGGGGTATGACTACTTTCTGAAGGCACTGTATAGAAAATGAGAACAAACCCAGTGGTATCATGATACTACTTGTTTTTGTGATACTTGGCCTGGTATCACGTCGTTAGCAAAATGTTGGTCATGTGACAACCCCACTCTGCAAATAGGCACATTTTCCTGCAGTTTATAGATTTTTTGGTTTCCGCGCCCATTCTTTTGTCATCTTTTTGGGCCCTCACCAGTTTGCATCCCTGCCTTTAATAACCCAGTACTGTCCTCTCCGCAGAGTGCTGCTATGGCATCCTGGTGTGTGGTATTAACCCAGTACTGTCCTCTCTGCAGCGTGCTATGGCATCGTGCAGGTGCCCACTGGACCCTGGTTCTGCAGGAAGTGTGAATCTCAGGAGAGAGCAGCCAGAGTGGTGAGTCTGACCAATAGAGTAACAACACCGTATTCTCAGCACTGTGTTTTATGGTACAGTTTCCGCAAATATTTAGCTGGTACTTTATAGGAAATTATGTTATTACTCTCTGGTAGTTACTTCAAAGAATTCAACGCAATTGGCAACTACCTGGTAGCAAAGAGTACCGTGTGGTGCTTATATTAACGAATCCAAAACAAGTAGTACATTGGTTATTACAGTGTAAAGTTACACCTAGGCAATATCTGAAAGAGCCAGTCAGCCGTGGAAGCATCAGACATGCCTATGAACCCCAGAGTATATTTCTCAAAGGGGGAAAAAAACAGCATCTTTTGCTTGTACTTTCCTCATCCTGGCTGTAGAAACAGTTAAACAGTGCGGTCATACTCGCTTGTGATATTGTGTGGACGAAAATTGGCGGGAAGAGGATTTTCTTCTTTTTTCTTCTGAGGGATGGCAGGCATCCTGTGGGAGGGGTGGAGTAGCTGGCGTGAAATGGGCACGACTGGAGGGATACACACACACACACAGGAAAGGGAAACAGTCTTGGGCAGTGTGTTTGTGTTTTAGTAGAGGCTGAGGCTTGGTGCCAACTAGGCTCTCCCTTTCTCATAGTAGTAACCACACAGTATGACAGAACTGGATGTGGGAGCTATGGCATGGAATCCGACTTACACCTATTTGATAGTGTTGGATCAGTGATTACCAAAAATACTGGGTGTGTAAGATAGTAGGGTACATGCTTGCGAGTGTGTATACGGTGCCTTCAGAAAGTATTCACGCCCCTTGACTTTTTCCACAGTTTGTTGTGTTACAGCCTGAATTTAAAATAGATAAAATTGAGATTTTTTTTGTCACTGGCCTACACACAATACCCCATATGTCAAAGTGGAATTATGGTTTTATAAATTTGTACAAAGTAATTAAAAATGAAAATGTGAAATGTCTTGACTCAATAAGTGTTCAACCCTTTTGTTATGGCAAGCCTAAATAAGTTTGGGGGTAAAAATGACCTTAACAAGTCACAAGTTGCATGGACTCACTCTGTGTGCAATAATAGTGTCTAGCATGATTTTTGAATGACTACCTCATCTCTGTTCCCCACAGGGAGGCCAATGGTGACTTTAAAACAGTTACCAGAGTTTAATGGCTGTGATAGGAGAAAACTGAGGATGGATCAACAACATTGTAGTTACTCCACAGTACTAACCTAATTGACAGAGTGAAAAGAAAGAAGCCTGTACAGAAAAAAAATATTCCAAAACATGGATCCTGTTTGCAAAAATGCACTAAAGTAGAACTGCAAAAAGTTGTGTTTGCAACAAGATAGTGTTTGCAACAAGGCACTAATTTTATTTGATTTATTAGGATCCCCATTAGCCGACGCAAATGTCGACAGTTAGTCTTACTGGCGTCCGACACATAACGAAAAATATATTACAGACAAAATACTTTACAATTGACATACTACATGAACATGTAGTGTGTGTGTGTCTATCAGTTCCACATACATGTCAGGACATACACACAGAGAAAGGTCACATGCGGGAGAGGCGTTGTGCCGGGAGTTTTTTGAAACCAGGTTTGCACAATATAAGATGGAAGTTCCATGCACTCATGGCTCTGTATAATACTGTATGTTTCCTTGAATTTGTTCTGGACCTGGGGAATGTGAAAAGACCACTGGTGGCATATCTGGTGGGGTAAGTGTGTGTGTCAGTGCTGTGTGTAAGTTGACTAGATGCAAACAATTTAGAATTTCCAACACATTAATGTTTCTTATAAAATCAAGAAGTGACGCAGTCAGTCTTTCCTCAACTCTTAGCCAAGAGAGACTGGCATGCACAGTATTAATATTAACCCTCTGATTACAATGAAGAGCAAGACATGCCGCTTTGTTCTTTGCCAGCTGCAGCTTCACTAGGTCCTTCTTTGCAGCACTTGACCATATGACTGTAATCAAGATAAGATAAAACTAGAGCCTGCAGGACTTGCTTTGTGGAGTGGGGTGTCGAAAAAGCACAGCTTCTCTTTATTACGGACAGACCTCTCCCCATCTTTACAACCATTGAATCTATATGTTTTGACCATTACTGTTTACAATCTAAGGTAACACTAAGTAATTTAGTCTCCTCAACTTGTTCAACAGCCACACCATTCATTACCAGATTCAGCTGAGGTATAGAACTTAGGGAATGATTTGTACCAAATACAATGCTCTTAGTTTTAGAGATGTTCAGGACCAGTTTATTACTGGCCACCCATTCCAAAACAGACCGCAACTCTTTAAGGGTTTCAGTGACTTCATTAGCAGTGGTTGCTTATACGTATATGGTTGAATCATCAGCATACATGGAAACACCTGCTTTGTTTTAATGCCAGTGGCAGGTCATTGGTAAAAAAAAAAAAAAAAAAGGTTTTACTGAGTTACAGTTCATATAAGGAAATCAGTCAACTGAAATAAATTCATTAGGCCCTAATTTATGGATTTCACATGCCTGTGAATACAGATATGCATTGGTTGGTCACAGATACTTAAAAATAAAAATAAAAAAGGTAGCGGCGTAGTTCAGAAAACTGGTCAGTGTCTGGTGTGACCACCATTTGCCTCATGCAGCGTGACACCTCTCCTTCGTGTAGAGTTGATCAGGCTGTTGATTGTGGCCTGTGGAATGTTGTCCCACCCCTCTTTCAATGGCTGTGCGAAGTTGCTGCATATTGGCGGGAACTGGAACACGCTGTCGTACACATCGATCCAGAGCATCCCAAACATGCTCAATGGGTGACATGTCTGGTGAGTATGCAGGCCATGGACATTTTCAGCTACCAGGAATTGTGAACAGATCCTTGTGACATGGGGCCGTGCATTATCATGCTGAACCATGAGGTGATGGCACCACAATGGGCTTCAGGATCTCGTCACGGTATGTCTGTGCATTCAAATTAACGTTGATGAAATGCAATTGTTTGTTGTCGTAGCTTATGTTTGCCCATACCATACCATAACCCCACCGCGGGGCACTCTGCTCACAACGTTGACATAGCTGGTCTCATGATCCCGCAGGTGAAGAAGCCGGATGTGGATGTCCTGGGCTGGTGTGGTTACACGTGGTCTGCGGTTGTGAGGCCATTTGGACGTACTGCCAAATTCTCTAAAATGACGTTGGAGGCCGCTATTGGTAGAGAAATTAACATTCAATTATCTGGCAACAGCTCTGGTGGACATTCCTGCAGTCAGCATGCCAATTGCACTCTTCCTCAAAACTTGAGACATCTGTGGCATTAGGTTGTGTGACAAAACGTCACCTTTTAAAGTGGCCTTTTATTGTCCCCAGCACAAGGTGCACCTGTGTAATGATCATGCTATTTAATCAGCTTGTTGATATGCCACACCTGTTAGGTGGATGGATTATCTTGGCAAAGGAGAAATGCTAACTAACAGGGATGTAAACAAATTTGTGCACAAAATCTGAGAGAAGCTTTTTGTGCATATGCAATATCTGGGATCTTTTATTTTAGCTCATGAAACATGGGGCCAACACTTTTCTTTCTCTAGTGTACTTGAACATCTATGTCAAGATCTGAAAATGGTTGTCTAGCAATGATCAACAACTAATTTGACTGAGCTTGATGAATTTTTAAAAGAACAATTGGCAAATTTAGCACAATCCAGGTGTGGAAAGCTCTTAGAGACTTACCCAGAAAGACTCACAGCTGTAATCGCTGCCAAAGTTGCTTCTACTTATGCAAATTAGATATTTCTGTATTTCATTTTCAATACATTTGCAAACATTTCTACAAACATGTTTTCACTTTGTCATTATGGGGTATTGTGTGTAGATGGGTGCGATAATTTGTTTTATTTATTCCATTTTGAATTCAGGCTGTAACACAACCAAATGTGCAATAAGTCAAGGGGTATGAATACTTTCTGATGGCACTGTATATCTGTTTGTGTGTAATTGTATGGTAAAGAGTTTTGCTAAAGGCCCATGTCTTCTTCCGTCCTCTCTCTTTCTCTGCAGAGGTGTGAGCTGTGCCCCCACAAAGATGGCGCCCTCAAGAGGACAGATAACGGAGGTAAGAATCATCTATCTAGGATAATGTGTTGTGTGTAACTGATTTGGCTGGAGCAAAAACCTGTCCTTATCATGGAGCCTCCCTTCATGAGAGTACTCCCATCAACTATTGACACACACACAGAGGCTGTTGGCGTCTCACAAGGTTCTGTGGTTAGCCCATGCTTATTTTGTCTCATTAATGGGATGTGTGGGGCCTGTTTAAGGGGCATGTGCGGAGGGCTGCACGATATTGGCAGAAAAATCAAAATATGTTCACCAAATATTGCGATTTTAATTACGATTTAGATCAAAACACTTTGGTCGGCAGGATAGTGGGTCCGACTCCCGGGACCACCCATACGTAAAATAACTATGAACGCATGACTGTAATTCGCTTTGGATAAAGTGTCTGCTAAATGGAACATATACAGTACCAGTCAAAAGTTTGGACACCTACATTTTACATTTACATTTTAGTCATTTAGCAGACGCTCTTATCCAGAGCGACTTACATGAGCAATTAGGGTTAAGTGCCTTGCTCAAGGGCACATCGACAGATTTTTCACCTAGTCGGCTCGGGGATTAGAACCAGCGACCTTTCGGTTACTGGCACAACGCTCTTAACCACTAAGCTACCTGCCGCCCACAGGTAGCTTAGGGATTTTCTTTATTTTCTTCTACATTAGAGAATAATAGTGAAGATATCAACTATGAAGTAACACATATGGAATCATGTAGTAACCAAAAAAGTGTTAAACAAATCAAAATATATTTTATATTTGAGATTCTTCAAAGTAGCCACCCTTTGCCTTGATGACAGCATTGCACACTCTTGGTATTCTCTCAACCAGCTTCATGAGGAATGCTTTTCCAACAGTCTTGAAGGAGTTCCCACATATGCTGATCACTTGTTGGCTGCTTTCCCTTCAATCAGCGGTCCAACTCATCCCAAACCATCTCGGGTTGAGGTCAGGTGATTGTGGAGGCCAGGTCATCTGATGCAGCACTCATCACTCTCCTTGGTCAAATAGCCCTTACACAACAAATGATAGTCCCACTAAGCGCAAACCAGATGGGATGACGTATTGCTGCAGAATGCTGTGGTAGAAATGTGGAAGTGTGCCTTGAATTCTAAATAGATTACTGGCAGTGTCACCAGCGAAGCACCCCCACACCATCACACCACCTCCTCCATGCTTTACGGTGGGAACCACACATGCGGAGATCATCCATACACGGCAGTTGGAACCAAAAATCTCAAAAGACCAAAGGACAGATTTCCACCGGTCTAATGTCCATTGCTCGTGTTTCTTGGCCCAAGCAAGTCTCTTCTTCTTATTGGTGTCCTTTTAGTAGTGGTTTCTTTGCAGCAATTTGACCATGAAGGCCTGATTCACGCGGTCTCCTCTGAACAGTTGATGTTGAGATGTGTCTGTTACTTGGGCTGCAATTTCTGAGGCTGGTAACTCTGGGTCTTCCATTCCTGTGGCGGTCCTCATGAGTGCCAGTTTCATCATAGCGCTTGATGGTTTTTGTGACTGCACTTGAAGAAACTTTCAAAGTTCTTGAAATGTTCTGGATTGACTGACCTTCATGTCTTAAAGTAATGATGGACTGTTGTTTCCCTTTGCTTATTTGAGCTGTTCTTGCCATAATATGGACTTAGCCCTATTTGGTAAAATACCATCTTCTGTATACCACCCCTACCTTGTCACAACACAACTGTTTGGCTCAAACACTTTAAGAAGGAAATAAATTCCACAAATTAACTTTTAACAAGGCACACCTGTTAATTTAAATGCATTCCAGGTGACTACCTCATGAAGCTGGTTGAGAGAATGCCAAGAGTGTGCAAAGCTGTCATCAAGGCAAAGGGTGGCTACTTTGAATAATATCAAATATAACGACATATATTTTGATTTGTTTAACACTTTTTTGGTTACTACATGATTGCATATGTATTATTTCATAGTTTTGATGTCTTCACTATTATTCTACAATGTAGAAAATAGTAAAAATAAAGAAAAACCCTGGAATGAGTAGGTGTGTCCAAACCTTTGACTGGTAGTGTAGATATAAAAGGTAGGGCTGGGAATTGCCAGGGACCTCACGATACGATCTTATCACGATACTAAGGTGCTGATATGATGTGTATTGCGATTTGATACTGTGATTTTATTGTGATTCAATGTTCCAAACATATTGCTCACCATATGTCTGCTGCAGAGGGACAAGAGAGAGCCATGAGAAAAGTGTTGAAAACAAATTGGCTCCTTTTTTAAATGGAAGATGGACAACAAGCTATGAAATACACATACTGGAGTTTTGGTGCAGGTACAGCCTACAACCGCAAAAATAATATTCAGATATTTTTTCCTCCCATCACTAATAAATGGCATATATTGTAGTAGTATATATTATGTGATCTGTTGGAATCATAGAAATGGAATGAGTAGGCTATTGGCATGACAACAAATGAAAAGGCCAGTATAGTAGTAGTTGTTATAGGGTAGAAGCCAATGTGTTGGTCAGTGTTTCCCAGGGGACCCTAATTACCCAGGTGGTGAGGGTAGGCAACAATACCTCCGCAACACTGACCCTCAACAAAGGTGCCCCTCAAGGGTGTGTGCTTAGTCTCCTCCTGTACTCCCTGTTCATCCACGACTGCGTGGCCAAGCACGACTCCAACACCATCATCAAGTTTGCGGACAACACAACGGTGGTAGGCCTGATCGCAGACGGCGATGATACAGCCTGCAGGGAGGAGGTCAGAGACTTGGCAGTGTGGTTCCATGACAACAACCTCTCCTTCAACGTCAGTAAGACCAAGTAGCTGATCGTGGACTACAGGAGAAAGAGGAGAGAGCACGTCCCCATCCATATTGACGGGGCAGTAGTGGAGCAGGTCGAGAGCTTCAAGTTCCTTGGCGTCCACATCACTAAGGACTTACATGGTCCACACACACCCGCATAGTCGTGAACAGGACACCGCAGCGCCTCTTCCGCCTCAGGAAGCTGAAAAGATTTTGCATGGGCTCTTCTGTCCTCCAAAAGTTCTACAGCTGCACCATCGAGAGCATCTTGACTGAATGCATCACCACTTGATATGGCAAATGCACCACCCTCTACTGCGAAGCGCTACAGAGTGTGGTGCAGACAGCCCAGTACATCACTAGGGCTGAGCTCCCTGCCATCCAGGACCTCTATACCAGGCGGTGTCAGAGGAAGGCCTGAAGAATTGGAAAAGACTTCAGCCACCCAAGCCATAATCTATTCACACTGCTACCAACAGGCTCCGAGACCGCTTCTACCCCCAAGCCATAAAACTGCTAAATAGTTAATTAATGGTTACCTGGACTATCTGCACTGACCCTATCTTGCACTGACTCTATGCACAATACTATATACACACGCTATATACACACACTACACTGACACCCACACACATTCATTACATACGTACACACATGCCTACCGACAACACAAAAATACACGCATACGACACAAGACAAATACACACTCACACACACACTTTTACACTCATCACGTGCTTCTGCTACTCTGTTCTTTATTTTACTCTTATCTATCCTGATGCTTAGTCACTTTACCCTGCCTTCATGTACATACAGTTGAAGTCGGAAGTTTACATACACCTTAGCCAAATACATTTAAACTCAGTTTTTCACAATTCCTGACATTTAATCCTAGTAAAAATTCCCTGTCTTAGGTCAGTTAGGATCACAACTTTATTTTAAGAATGTGAAATTTCAGAATAATAGTAGAGAGAATGATTTATTTCAGCTTTTATTTCTTTCATCACATTCCCAGTGGATCAGAAGTTTACATACACTCAATTAGTATTTGGTAGCATTGCCTTTAAATTGTTTAACTTGGGTCAAACGTTTCGGGTAGCCTTCCACAAGCTTCCCACAATAAGTTGGGTGAATTTTGGCCCATTCCGCCTGACAGAGCGGGTGTAACTGAGTCAGGTTTGTAGGCCTCCTTGCTCGCACATGCTTTTTCAGTTCTGCCCACAAATGTTCTATAGGATTGAGATCAGGGCTTAGTGGCCACTCCGATACCTTGGCTTTGTTGTCCTTAAGCCATTTTGCCACAACTTAGGAAGTATGCTTGGGGTCATTGTCCATTTGGAAGACCCATTTGCGACCAAGCTTTAACTTCCTGACTGATGTCTTGAGATGTTGCTTCAATATATCCACATAATTTTCCTTCCTCATGATGCCATCTATTTTGTGAAGTGCACCAGTCCTTCCTGCAGCAAAGCACCCCCACAGCATGATGCTGCCACCCACGTGCTTCACGGTTGGGATGGTGTTCTTCAACTTGCAAGTGACCCCCTTTTTCCTCCAAACATAACGATGGTCATTATGGCCAAACAGTTCTATTTTTGTTTCATCAGACCAGAGGACATTTCTCCAAAAAGTACGATCTTTGTCCCCATGTGCAGTTGCAAACCCTAGTCTGGCTTTTTTATGGCGGTTTTGAGCAGTGGCTTCTTCCTTGCTGAGCGGCCTTTCAGGTTATGTCGATATAGGACTTGTTTTACTGTGGATATAGATAATTTTGTACCTGTTTCCTCCAGCATCTTCACAAGGTCCTTTGCTGTTGTTCTGGGATTGATTTGCACTTTTCGCACCAAAGTACGTTCATCTCTAGGAGACAGAACGCATCTCCTTCCTGAGCGGTATGACGGCTGTGTCGTCCCATGGTGTTTATACTTACGTACTATTGTTTGTACAGATGAACGTGGTACCTTCAGGCGTTTGGAAATTGCTCCCAAGGATGAACCAGACTTGTGGAGGTGTACCATTTTTTTTCTGAGGGGATTTTCCCATGATGTCAAGCAAAGAGGCACTGAGTTTGAAGGTAGGCCTTGAAATACATCCCCAGGTACACCTCCAATTGACTCAATTGATGTCAATTAGCCTATCAGAAGCTTCTAAAGCCATGACATCATCATCTGGAATTTTCCAAGCTGTTTAAAGGCACAGTCAACTTAGTGTATGTAAACTTCTGACCCACTGGAATTGTGATAC